AGAATGCTTGTTAGAAGTACAGATCATATAATTCTATTGAATGCCATTTAGTAGGTTTTAAATGAAGTTTAGAAATAACTGAACAGATCCCCAAGCTGATCCTACTTCATAGCTGTGTTTAGGGATGATAGCTGGCCCAGTTTTAAGGTTGCCAAGTAGTGGAGCTAAAGACAACAGATTCAAGGCTACATGCCTAAACGTTGAATGAGGCAGTGAGATATAAATTAAAGTGTGTTGGTATATACAGTGAAATGCAGTTCTTGCACATGTGCATGAAATTCATTCCAGAACTCACAGTAAATTTGAAATGTAACTTTTGATTTATTTGTTTTGGATTAAAAATTATATGTTTTGATATTTCAGGGGAGGGATGGTTATAGTATGTTTAAAAATTGTCCTCGAATGTTTCACACAGAAACTGCACAAATACTTTCTACAGTAGTTATGAATCACTTTGAATCAATAAAAATCTTGCAGGGAAGGAAGAAGTGCCTTTCAGGCCATCAAATGAGTTTAATTAGTACTACTAATAAATCACCATCACTAACAGGTGGGAATATAGTTTTATTTTATAACAAGTGCTTTTATGAAGCTTTTTCCTAAATTCTTGGCAGCAGTTAAATAGTACTTGGCATTCTATGTTTGGAAAAATATGAGTAAAATAAAGACTGAATTTTATTTGTCAAGGTAAGTAAATACAATTATAAGAAAGGCATAAGCAAAAATTCAAAGATAAAAAGCCCAAATTCTAGGAACTTATATATTTTTCAAATTATTTTGTTATCTTAGCTTGCTTTTTTACTTTTCTTTCTCTTCTACAGGAACCATTCTAATTAATCAGATTGATTTGTAAACGATAATGTAACAATTGATTTGTAAATGATAATGATTTGTAAATCATCTGTCTTTTCCTTTTTGCAAAACACTATGTCTCCCATAAGGAGTTCATTTTTTGCATTCGATTTAGGAGTTTTATTCTTTTTAAAAAGTCTCAATAATAACCCAAGACCAGATTGTCCAAATTCATAGAGAATTCTACAAACAAAGATCTTGAAAAAGCAAGCAGCAGAATATTTCCTAATTATTTCAGACAGCAGAAAATTTTGAGTTAATAGGTTGTACATTCTATTTTGACCTGAAAATGACTCCCCAGACTTTTTGGCAGTGCAGATCAAATCCAGGAGTGCCTTTGCACTTCCCTTCTTCATGCCTACACCATCACTCCGTTTCATTTTTCTGCAGTGCTGGGGACCTCACCTTGGGTCTTCAAAGGGGGCTACTTTCTCAGCACTGTTGTATTTGGAGACAGGGTCTTCCCAAATTGCCTAGGGTGGGTTTGAAGTAGGGATCCTTCTGCCTCAGCTTTCCCGAGGGCTGGGATTACAGGTGTGTGCCACCGCAGCTGGCTCCAGCTTAATTTGTTCATTTTGAGACAGGCTCTGGCTACATTGCTGAGACTGGCCTCAAACTTTTTGATTTTTCACCTCTATCTTATAAACAGCTTGGATTAAAGGCATATGCCACTAATCCCACTTATAATATTTTAATTCCCTCAGTGAAATGATCAGGACATTTATGTGTGATCATGACAGCTGTCTGCAAGTGGTGCAAGTGGCATCATGTAAAACAGAACTTGCTCTAAGTTACCAGAAGAACCGGTAGGAGATATACATAAAAACAAGCTCCTGCCTGCTTTATTATAAATGGGGCAGCTAACCTGAATTTTAGTGAAAATACTGACAAACACTTTCAACCATTTTCAATTTTAAAGAATTTTAAAACCCATAAAAAATACAAAACTTCAAAACAAGATAGGAAATTAACAATGCTTATTATATTGCATATTGTGGTCTTCAAAACAGTTGCCGTGATTACCAGATGCAGGACTACTCAAATAGAAGCAGTTAATGTTCCTTTCGATGACCTATGAGCATTAGTAGTAGAACTGTCTTAGGTATCTGTGTGTGTACACACATATGTATATATGTGACTTTTTCCTTGCTTCTTTCCTCCTTTTCCCTGTCCCATTTCTTTCCTCTTCAGCAGTTTCATTCTCTTTCAGAATATGCGTTATACCTTTTGGATCTTATTTACTCTTTCAGTTTCTTACACTAGGGAGACAACATGCTGTTTACCCATATTGGTATGTTTTATTTACTTGTAAGTATAAACTCTAGTTGCATCATTTACCTATAAAAGCCTTGAACTGATCCATCTTTATAGCTGAGGAATACTATCTTGTATTAAAATACCGTATCCTAGGGTCAGGTACTTGGCTCAGCAGCACAACTGCCTGCTTGGCAAACATGAGGTCGTGAGATTGATCCTCACTATGAAAAACAAATACAAAATACATTACATCATTTTTATCCTTTTTGCGGTTGATGGGCATTTGAGTGGTTTCAAAGATTTATTACAAATTGTGCTGCTATAACATGGATGAACATATGTCATTGTGGTATGATGTTTTCAATTCTTCTGGGGAAATACCCAAGAAGGGCAATAACTTGGTTGAATGGGACCTCTAGTCCTTTTTTGGAGGAGCCTCCACACTGATTTCCACAGTGCTTGCACCTGTCTACATGCCTACGAAGGTTGGCAAAGGATGTTCTGCCTCACAACCCTGTCAGAATTGATAATTCAATGATTTTTAAAGATAGCCATTGTTTCTGGGGAAAGGCAGAATCCCAGGACCTGATATTTTTCAGTTCTTTATATGTTCCAGATACAAGTCCTTTGTCTGAGGAATAGTTGGCTAGTTTCTCCCCAATATGTGTGTTTTCTTTTCATTCTGTTGGTGACTTACTTTGTTGTGAATAAAAAAACTTTGTAATAAGATGAAATCCCAGTTGTTGATCCTTGAAGTACTTCCTATGTAGTTTGTTTTTTTAATGAAATCTTTGTCTTACTGCCATGTCTTCAAGATTTCCACCTAATTTTTCTTCTAGTCAATTTCATATTTCTCTTTTAATATTTAGATCTTTGACCCATTTCTGCCAGGGATTTAGCTCAGAGGCACAAGTACCTGCCTGCGAAGTGCGAGGCCATGAGTTGAATCCCCGGCACAAAAAAAAAAAAAAAAAAAAAAATCTTATTTGTACTTTAGTGCACGGTGATAGCCAGGGGTTTGTTTTTAGTTTTAGTATTCAGCATATGGAAAAAAGTTTTTCAGCACCATTTATTAAAGAGGATTTCTTTCACTGAACATCTTTGGCTCCTTTCTCAGTGAGAGTGTGGCTGAGTGTAGGTTGTGTCTGCATCTTTTCTGTTCCAATGATCCTCAAGTCTGTTTGCCAGTACCATGCTAATTTCATCACTGTGTAGCTTTGTAGTTTAATTTCAAGTCAGGGATTGTAATGTGTCTTGCTTTGCTTTGTTGCCCAGGATTTTAGGTCTCTTCTGGTTCCAGATGAATTTTAGGAATGTTTTCTCTAGACCTCTGAGGTACACTAGTGGTATTTTGATCAGGATTGTATTAAACCTATATAACAGTTTTGGGAATATGGACACTTACACAGTGTTGGTCCTTCCTATCCATAAGCAAGGGTATGTTTCCATTTTCCAGTATCATCTCTGATCTCCTTTTTCAAAATCCTGTAACTTGTAATGTAAACGTCTTTTACTACCTTTGTTAGAACAATTCCTAAAAATTTCAGTTTTTTGGATACTATTGTGAAAAGTGTTGTTTCCCTGGTTTCTCTCTCATTGAGTTTGTTATACGTGTACAAGAAGTCTACTGATTTTTGAGCGTTGACTTTGTATCCAGCTACACCTCAGAATTTGTTTACTAAATCTAGAAGTCTTTTGTGGAATTTTGGGGGTCTTCTAAGTAGAGTATCTTGTGGTCTCCAAATAATAATTTCACTTCTTTCTTCTTTAGTCTTCCTTTTATTTCTTTCTCTTGTATAATTGATCTGGCTGTTTCCAGAACTATATGGAACAGGAGTAGTGATAGTGGATATCTTCAGCTTGTTCCTGACTTTAGGTTGAAAGCTTTCAGTTTTTTTTTCCAATTAGTATGAGGTGGGCTGTTGGTCTGTCACAGAAGGCTTTTTATGTGATTGAGGTAAAGACCATCTACCCATTCCAATTTTCTGTAGGATTTTTTTTAATCATGAATGAGTGTGTTGGACTTTACCAAATGCTCTTTCTGCATCCACTGAGATAAGCATGTGGTGTCTGTCCTGAGTTCTGTGAACGTGCTCTAGTATATTTACTGCTTTGCCTATGCTGAACCATCCCTGCATTCATCCTGGGATGAATCAGAGTTGGTCATGGTGTGCAATTTCCATGATGATTTGCTGCATTCCATCGGCCCAGCTCCTGAGGGCAGCCTAGCCAGCAGACCATGAAGGCTGAGATGCTTGCAGAGAAGCCCTGACCCCGGGGTCAGCAGGGAGCTAGCCACCTGCTGACATGCCTCGCCCCTGCAAAGCGCAAGGCGCTGCCCTACTGCCCAAGGCCACGCGCTTCATGTCCCATCTTCATACATGGCTATCCAGCAGCATGGGCAGTGTCACTGTGCATCCTGTGTCAAAGCCACTCTGCCCTAAGCCTTTGCTATGGCTGCACCATCCCTACCGCCCCGCGTGCGGAAAAGCAGTGAAAGCCCTTTACCTGGACAATCTGGACGCCATCTTGCTGCCCATCATGACCCCAGGAAGGGGCAACTTCCCAGGGCCAGCATGCAGCTTGCTATGGGCAGTGGCTGGCAGCTATGGGCGGGGCTTCCGTGACGTCACAGAGGCAGGTGAGCCGCCCGTGGTCACCGCCCACTCAGGGTGGGTCTGAAGGGCCCCGCCCTCTCCAGCCTGGGAACTGGACCTTGTGCTTCCTATTGTGTTTTGCACAGAGGAGTTCTGAGCCTGGCTCCACTGTATTTGGTTGAGCTTACCAGTTGACTAGGGCTAATTAGCTAGTCCCAGTCACCCAAGTATCCAATTTCAGTGTAGTTCAAATTTTAATCTGAAGCCAAATACATAAAACAAGCTTCTGTGATCGTGGATGGCTGCAAAGTCAGAAAGAATGGCCACTTTGCTTTAGCAGGGGCCTCATGGTGTTCTCTCGCCGATTGGCATTGCTTGATTTCAGCCGATTTGCTCGCTGGTTTCCAAATCTTGTGAGCATCTTAGAAACATATTACTGACCCCCAAATACTGGCTGTCTGATTTAGTACGTATTTCTCTTAACTCGTTGTTCCAGATAACTGCTGCCTCCGCTTCAATTTGGAGAGAATTCAAAAGTTCAGAGATCACAAGGACTATTCCGATTCAGTATGTATGTCTGTAGAGAACAGCACAAGCTTTATAAGTTTTCAGAACTTCTCCAAGCAGCATGTGTTCTAAAATTAGTCTGATACCATTATTACACAAGCAAAGCACATAAGCAATGTGCACAGAAAAAGTACAAACTTAAGATATTAAAAGACACTTAACCTGCATAACCAGAAATGTAAACTATACCTTAACACTTTTCACCTGCCAAACTGGCAAACACACAGATTCAGACAACACAGGGGAAACTATCTGTTGTGCTAACTTGGGGGGCTCTGATATATGTGACACTGGGTGATCAGTTCCGTTAGCAGAATGGAAAAGCAAGGTGTGTTGGCCTTAGAAATACTAGCTCTTTGGGCCGGGCTTTTAGCTCAGCAGTGTAAGCACCCGCCTGACAAGCACATAGGTCCTGAGTTTGACCCCGGTATCAATGGAAAAAAAAAAAAAAGAAAGAAAGAATGTCTGGTTGCCAGGGTGCTGCTAAAGACATAAACTTGAGACAACTGGTCATTTTGCAGCCCAGATGTATAAGGAACTGGTGGCAGCCAAAAAGTCAGTGTTTGCAGACTTGCCCAGCTGATAGCTTCTAGACCCCAAAAGGTGAACAATGAGCATTCTTTCAGGTATCACTTTTATTTTAAGGCTATTGTAGGTTCACATCGAGTTGTAAGAAATAGAAACTGCCGGATCCTTTTGCATGTGGCATACACTAAGTGGTGACATTTTCAACAACTACAGCACAATACCATAACCAGGATATTGGCACTGGGACAGTCAAAAGACAGAAGCCTTCTGTCACTAAAATATTCCTCCTGAAGTCTTTTTAAATGATTCTTTAATTGATGGATTGAGGTACTGGGCGTTGAACTAAGGAGCTTCCTCCCACTGAACCACATCCCCGGCCTTTTTTTATTTTCGAGTTTGAGACAGGGTTCCACTAAGTCGTGAAGTCCCCCAGGCTGGCCTTGAACTTGTGATTCTCCTGTCATACCCTCCCATCATGTGCGGCTTCACCATTGGCCCAAAAGCACTGGGGTCAAGCAGTCACGGACTGTAACCTCCATAACAGTGAGCCAAAATAAGCCCTTTATATGAGATGTGCTGTGCACCTGTAATCCCAGCACTAAAGAAGCTAAGCCTCGAGGATCACAAGTTCAGGCTCCTCTGGGAAATTTAAATAAAGAGCAAAAGGAGTGGGGGACTTAGTTCAGTGGTAGACGCACCTGGGTGCAATCTTCTTCTGTACACAGGAAAGGAAGAACAAATGGCTGTTTGAACTGTTTATACACTTAACTTCCATCACCACCAGGGGCAGCAGCACCACCTGATTCTCCAGGATGAGAACTAGCACAACTGCTCAGGGTGGGACAGAACATACAGCGAGGTGTCAGGGAGGGGCGGGAGGCTGCGCCCCGTTCATAGCTTGAACTACCTGGAATGATTCATCCCTAGCTGAGTGCCCTTCTCTGCTTCTCCAGGGCAAAGCTGGAAGACTCAAAAATTCTTGGGATGGAGACCGGGTTTTTTCTACAGCTTAACAGTGATAAGCAAAGGACAGCGTAGGAGGAGACACATTTAAAACAATCTTAATGAGAGTTTTGGAGGTCTTACAAGGGCTCCCTGTGAAAGCAGGAGAACAAGAGTTAGAAACTGAACTCAGATTTGGCAGTGATGGCTTGGAAGATGTACTTACACTGAATTTCTATTTCTTTTCTTTCTTGCTTTTTATTGTATTTATTTTTGGTACTGGAGATGGAACTCACAGCCTCATGCTTGCCAGGCAGGCACTCATGCCACTGAGCTAAATCCCTGGCCCTTTCGTTTCTATTTCTGTATCAAGAGGAGGGAGAGACACTATATAATGCACCATATTCTTCTGCCTTGCTCACACTCCTTAAGCACTAATGCTGTGCAATGAAAACAATGTTCTTGACTGCATTCACCTGCACTGGATGAGACTTGTTATTTTTCCAGAACTGAGCATGTTAATTGTTGGGGCTTTTTGGCTCAGCAGAGAAACAAAGGCAGAAAAGAAAAAAGGCCTTATCACTGGGCATGGGAGAGCTGCCAAAGAGTGCAAGATCCCTCTGAGGCAGACAAAGAAGCCATGGGGCTTTGATTAGGTTGGACAGGGGGTGGTGTTTGAAGAGGCGGGCAGAAAGACCTACTGACAGCTGATGGGGGAGATGCTGGCACATGCACGAAAAGCAAAAAGGTCAACTGGAGATCAGAAGAACACAGAAATCAATATTAGAGGGACACGCTGTCATGTTAGGGTCCAGCACCAGGTTGGGCAGGCACCACGTGAGGTCTGGCAGGCTCCCACATGAGTGAAACCTATCACTAATTCAAGCGGATTTCATACCAAGAGCGGCTCGTAGGGTGATCTGGGGCTGATGCTGACTTCGCAGGGACACCTCCTCCTGTACTTCATTGTGGCCCCATCTGCCACCCAGTGTTCTTTCTTCTACTGTTCAGTTTCTTTAAGTCAAGGAATGAAACACCTAAAGGAAATAGCAAGGAAGGCTGCATCAAAAACCACGACTGTTTCCTGGTTTGTTACCAATAATACCTCCACTCACAAAATTATAGAACAATAAAGAAAATTACAAACCAGGCAACTTTAGTTTTATAGGAAAGTTACAACATCTAAATATACTAGGATTGTAGTAAAATACATATACACATCTCTCATGTGCACTTATATGCACACATTTTGTGAGATACTCATTAAATTCCTGTGTTGTGAAATAATTCAAGCTTTCATTTTTTGGAAATCGCCTGATTATAGACTTTGATATTTATTCAGTGAATCAATCCTTCAATTTTATAGCCTTAAATCTTTTGTTGTCAGTCAAAACTGCCTAACACTGCTTTTCATTATGATAGACAATGTGAAATCTGTACTTCTAAAAAATTTCTAAGCACATTATTACAGTTTTGTTGCCTATAGGCACACTGTTGTAAACAGAAGTACAGAATTCATACACCTTCGATACCAAATGCCCAGCAACTCACATTCCCCTCATTCTCGGACCCTAACAATCACCATTCTATTGCCTGCTTGAAAGGTTGCTATATTTTAAGCGTCTCACATAAAGAAAATTGTGTAGTATGTGTCCTTCTGTGATTGGTCTACTTCACTAACCTTTCTGGGTACTTCTGCAAAACAACAGAAACCAGGAGTGAAACCATCTGCGCTCCCATGTTCACAGCAACACTTTCCATAACAAACAAGATGTAGAAGCAATATAAACGTTACTGTTGCAATGGATAAAAACCAGGCCATAGGATTCCTACAATCCCAAAGTATTCTGCCACTAAAAAGAAGGGGAACTCTGTCATAGGTAACAATGCAAATACATTTCTTTTCAATTAATTTAGTAGCCATAGAACTTTGTTAGGGAAATATGGGAAGCCCCAGATAACTTCTCTCCCACACAAATTACAACTGCAACCAGACACAGACAGAAAGCGCATACTGTACTTCAAAATGCTGCAAGCATGCAGTACCAGGCAAATGGGGACTGGAATCCAAAGGAGAACAACAGCCCATAATGGGCTGTTCCATGTTGCGTTTCTCCTTCTGTGTCTTCCAGCTTTGTTTAGGGAAAATAAATTCCAGTAATCACTGAAAGAATAAATTCTGGACCCCAATCCTTGTTTGTATCCAGAGAAGTGTGGACTTCTGCTCGGGGCTGGGGGTGCATCTGAGGGTTAAAGAGTCATCCCATCCCACTTTTGTGGGGTTTTTTCCTCACGGGTTGCAAAGTTGTCCAGCAGCCTCAAGAGAGGCAGAAGGGGGGCTGGGGATTTAGCTCAGCGGCATAAGCGCCTGCCTTGCAAGCAGCCAGTCGTGAGTTGGATCCCTGGTACCGATAAAAACGAAAAAAAGACCAAAAAAAAAAAAAAAAAAAAAAAAAAAGAGAGAGGCAGAAGGACCTAAAGCCCCAACAAATGACCTGTGCCCACAAAGGAACAGGCAGTGACTTCTGCTGTATGAAGAGAATGAGGGAAATTGCCACTATGTTTGTACTCTATTGCTGTTGCTGATGGCCTGAGGGTTGACCTGCCCTGGGGAAGTTCTCTTCTTGTGGCAGGAAAATGTAAATGGCATTTTAAAGAGGAGAGAGCTACAGAAAGAAATCACTGAAGTCTGTGAGAGAGCCAGCACAAGGTCTAAACTCACACTGAGCGGCTTGCACAGAATAGTTCCAAAGAAGCAAGGCAAAGGCTTTGGGTAGTGACTGAGCTATCAACCACCAGGCATCCAGTAGACCACCAGGGCTGGGGGTGGGGCACTGTGGCCTGAGCACAACCTGGACCCTGCAAAGCAAATGCAGGATGCGGTCTGACCCTGCTGCCTTGACAGCTTTGCAGAACAACAGAACAAGAGAAACCATTGCTTGCTTTAGGATTTTAATAGGAACCAGAGTCTGCTAAATCAACCAGCAAACTGTCCAGGGCACTATCCAAAACTAAGCAATAGTACATATAGAAAATTAAGACAATCTGACCAATCCTCAAGGGAAAGGGCAATATCCAGCCCTGCAACAACCCACATAAAGGAAGGATCATGGAAAACCCCTACCATGGAAGCAGAAAGCCTGATCAAACTGTAGACACTTTGTTCAGTAAAGGTAAAGCCATTCTGTTCTCAGCCACTGAACTCAGCTAAATCATATGATTTCATGCAACTGAAAGCCCTGGGAACATGCTGACAACTTTGCTACACACAACTATGTTCACCACAAGATAGCCATTGTACCACATCCTTCAGCTAAAAGCTTGCAACTCTTCCCCACGACCTCTGTTTGCCACTCTATAAAAAAGACAAGCTCTCTGCAAATACCACCTCAGACTTTGAGGATGACTCCCCTGGAGATCACTAAATTTCCTTTCTTCTCCTGAGCTCCTGGTTACTGTTAGCTCAGTTTCCCCTACATCACTAGAAAAAACCATTCTCTTAGAAAGAGACAAAGAGAAAGAGAGACACAGAGAGAGAGAGAGAGAGAGAGAGAGAGAGAGAGAGAGAGAGAGAGAAAGAGAGAGAGAAAGAAAGAAAGAAAGAAAGAAAGAAAGAAAGGCAGAAAGAAAGGCAAATACCCTTGACATGAATGGAATATGACATCAATAGAATTCATTTAATGGAAATAAATAAGCTTCCATCAGAAAAAGAACAAGAGTCCAAGACTCTGCGGGGCATTAAAATGCCAATCTAAAAACAAAGAGAAAAAAAGAACAAAAAAATTAAGAGTCTCAGAGACATGCAAAGCAACACGAAAAATTTTAACATCTTACCATCCTCATGGGTAAAGGAGGAGTTGAGGAACAAGAGAGATACAGGAAAAAGTGGGAGATAGGTCACAATTCATGGAAAACACATCTAAGATGCTGGGAAAAGTCTCATCCAAGACACGCTCAACTCAATACACAAGCATGAAGACAATTCTGCAAAATACTCAGAGAAAATAACAGGTCCAATACAAGGAAATGTCAATTTAAAACTTCCCATGGAAAGCACACCAACCACAAGAGACTGAGAGAACACCTTGCAGGGCCAGAAGAAAAGGTCCCCCCAGGCACTGTGTGTGTGTCTGTGTGTGTGTGATGTAAGTTCTGGGCCCCAAATGAAAATAAATAGGAAGGTTAAAGGAGGGGAGAAAAACGCAAGGGAATCTGTTACTAGAAAGCTTGCTACAGAAATACACGAAGGAATTTTCTTCAGGTTGAGGGTAAAAGGCAGGAACAGGCAGGGTATAACTTCAGGAATCAAAGAGGAGGAAAGGAATGCTGCCTGTTTGGATATCTGATGCTGGTTACTCTCCTCTTCAGTTCACACACAGGGCAAGAGCAGGAAGATGCAAAAGCCTGATGCCAAAGCTTTCAAGTGTCCCAGGTGGGGCTAGGCAGGAACCCTGCTCCCCTAGTCCCTCCTCCTAGGTAGGATCAGGGCCCACAGGTGACAGCCCCTGGGCTCTGCCTCAGGGCCCTCAAGGGACTGCAGCAGCTCATTTCCCCTTAGCTGTCCCCCTCAGCCCTGGTATGAGGGCGGGAAACCTGCAGCCTGTTTGCAAGCAGTGGCAATCCTCAGGGTCGCGGGCTCCTGTCCCCATCTTGCTGCAGAGAGGCAGAGGAACCGCCCTCCCGGGAAAGTTACAGAATGTTGCAAACGCGCCGCGCGGCTTTTGACCGTTTGTGCACGCGGGCACGCGGGCCTGAGCACCCGCCTGCGGGGCGGTTTTTGGTCTCGAGCTGCGAAGCCGCGTCCTGGCAACAAAGCATTGCGGTTCAGGCGGCAGAGCAGTTGGCTGCTTCAAGCAGTGCGCTCTGCCAAGGTCTGGGATAGAAGTACCCCCGTTCCCCAATAGTTCCGGGGAGCAGTGCCGCGGGCTAGCTTTGCCCCGCAGCCCTGCTCCCTGCCCGCGGGGGCAGGACCTTGCCCCAAGGGCCCACCTTTGTGGGCCCCTCTCGGCACCTGCCCAGAGCCCTGGGTGGGCGCATCCCGCTTAGCCAGTGTGCCCGCGGATCCAGTCCTGACGTCTGGCATCAGGCATCAGGCATCCCGGGCTTGACCTCAGTGCTCTGGGCAAGAGTGCCCGGAGCACTGCTCCCCTACCTGCAGGCCCTTTTGGCCCTTGAGGCCCTTGAGGCCCTTGCGGCCCTTGGGGCCCTTGGGGCCCATGGGCCAACAGGTAGGCTCTCTTCTGGGGAGGCCAGTGCTTCCCGCAGACGATTTTCAGACACGCCGCAGCAGCAGCCGTAGGTCCTCCCGCAGGGACTGCTCGGGCATTTGGCTCTTGAGGCAGGAGGCTCAGCAGAGGAGGGCCGCCCAGGAGGCTGCGAGGCCCCCGTCCGCCTTCAAGCCCGTGGTAGGCCGGCGAGGCCAGGTGCCTTATGTCCCCAGGCCTGGGCCTCTGAGCACAGACCACCGCAGGCAGAGCGCCAGAGCTCCAGCTGCCCGCTACCCCCAGCCCTCCTGTGTGAGCTCCTTGAAGCGAAATGCCATCAGCAGCTCCTACAGCTCCACCGGGGGGCTGCCGGGACAGCGCAGGAGGGCTGCAGCCCACTCGCACCCCAGGCCGCCCCCGGGCTCTGCCAAAGATCTGAAGGCGGCCAGGCAGGACAGCCTCCAGCAACCGTGTTCGGCCCCCCAAGTTCCCCTCAAGCCCGGGAACGAGGTGGTGGCAGACACACCATCCAGACACGAAGAAACCAGAAAGGAACACGAGATGACACCAGAGGGTGCTGGCCTAGGAAGAAGAAAGATCCCTCTCCTGAGGCGTCGCCAAGGGCCACCCCTCAGGCTGCCACCACCTCCGGAACTGAGCTATAAGATCACCGCGGAGCACATAGGTCAGGAGAAGGAGGCAGCATTCCAGCTTGTGAATGCCAGGCTGATGGGTAAGTTGCAGGCCCTAGACATCAGCAGCACCACACAGCCTGTCTGCCCTCCTCCCCTGCCTGCCACAGGTACTGCTCCTGAACCCTTGATCTCTGCGGGGGAGAGTAACCACAGAAAGCAGCAGGACTCCACCCTCACCAGTAGCCCTCAGCCTTCCTGCTCTGCTTCCCAGCCTCTGCCAGGTACTGATCCACCCATGATCCCTGCAGGGAAAGGTAAGAACAGAAAGAGGGCCCTAAGAACAGAAAGGGCCCCTAAGATCTTTGATGTCACAGAGCCTTCCTGCTCTGCTCCCCTGGCTGTCCCAGGGACAGCTCCTCCACACACCATTCCCACAGGGAAGGGTAAGAACAAAAGGGAGAAGGTCCCTGAGGTCTTTGACCCCACATGGCTTTTCTGCTCTGCTCCCCTGGCTACTCCAGGGACAGCTCCTCCAGACACCATTCCCACAGGGAAGGGTAAGAAGAAAAGGGAGAAGGCCCCTGAGGTCTTTGACCCCACACAGCTTTTCTGCTCTGCTCCCCTGGCTACTCCAGGGACTGCTCCTCCAGACACTATTCCAACAGGGAAGGGTAAGAAGAAAAGGGAGAAGGCCCCTGAGGTCTTTGACCACACACGGCTTTTCTGCTCTGGTCCCCTGGCTACTCCAGGGACTGCTCCTCCAGATACCATTCCAACAGGGAAGGTTAAGAACAAAAGGGAGAAGGCCCCTGAGGTCTTTGACCACACACGGCTTTTCTGCTCTGGTCCCCTGGCTACTCCAGGGACAGCTCCTCCAGATACCATTCCAACAGGGAAGGGTAAGAAGAAAAGGGAGAAGGCCCCTGAGGTCTTGGACCCCACACAGCTTTTCTGCTCTGGTTCCCTGGCTACTCCAGGGACAGCTCCTCCAGACACCATTCCAACAGGGAAGAGAAAGAACAAAAGGGAGAAGGCCCCTGAGGTCTTGGACCCCACACAGCTTTTCTGCTCTGGTTCCCTGGCTGCCCCAGGGACAGCTCCTCCAGACACCATTCCAACAGGGAAGGGTAAGAAGAAAAGGGAGAAGGCCCCTGAGGTCTTTGATCCCACAGAGCCTTCCTGCTCTGCTCCCCTGGCTGCCCCAGGGACTGCTCCTCCAGACACCATTCCAGCAGGGAAAGGTAAGAACAGAAAGAAGGCCCCCAAAGAGAAGACAAGCAGGGAACCTTTAAGCTCTGCTCCCCTGGCTGCCCCAGGGACTGCTCCTCCAGTCACCATTTCAGCAGGGAAAGGTAAGAACAGAAAGAAGGCCCCCAAAGATAACAAATGCATGGAGCCTTTGGGCTCTGCTCCCATGGCTGCCCCAGGGACTGGACCTCCATCCACTGTGCCTGCAGGGAAGAGTAAGAACAGAAAGGAGAAGCCCTTCCTGGGCTATGGGAACCCACTGACATCTCCAGCCACAGCTACAGCCTCTGCTGTACACACAGACACTAACAGAACAGAGCTTCCAGTGGACATCACACCTCCACCTGATCCTCTCCTTTCTGGGCCTCTGGCCCCTGACACCAGTGGCAGCTCCCTCCCTTCTGCACAGCCAACTGTGACACTGCCCCTTGGCAGCACAGCCATAGCCATGGGCTTTGGTCCCCAGGTGGTGCCCAGCTTTGGGCTGTCCTCTATATACGTCACACCCCCACACAATGCTCCTCTTCCGGGGCCTCCCACTGGCACCAATGGGAACTCCTTCCCATCTCCACAGATGACTGTGGCACCGCCCAGTGGCAGTACAGCCACAGCCATGGGCTCTGGTCCCCACATGGTGCCCAGCTTTGGGCTGTCCTCTATATACGTCACACCCCCACACAATGCTCCTCTCCCAGGGCCTCCCACTGGCACCAGTGGGAACTTCTTCCCATTTCCACAGATGACTGTGGCACCGCCCAGTGGCAGTACAGCCATAGCCATGGGCTCTGGTCCCCACATGGTGCCCAGCTTTGGGCCATCCTCCATATACGTCACACCTCCCAACAAGGCTCCTCTTCCGGGGCCTCCCACTGGCACTAGTGGGAACTCCTTCCCATCTACACAGATGACTGTGGCACCGCCCAGTGGCAGTACAGCCATAGCCATGGGCTCTGGTCCCCAAGTGGTGCCCAGCTTTGGGCCATCCTCCATATATGTCATACCTCCACACAATGCTCCTCTTCCGGGGCCTCCCACTGACACCAGTGGGAACTTCTTCCCATCTGCACAGATTAGTGTGGCACCGCCCAGTGACAGCATAGCCACAGGCACATCCTCTGCTCCCCAGACAGGGACTGACACCGGAGTAGAACCTATGGATACCACACCCCCAGCTGATCCTCTTCCCGGGGGGGCTCCTCCTGGCACCAGTGGGAACTCCTTTCCATCTGTACAGATGTCTATGGCACCACCCAGGGGCAGCACAGCCACAGGCACGTCCTCTGCTCCCCAGTCAGGGACTGACACTGGTGTAGAACCAATGGATACCACACCTCCACCTGATCCTCTTTCCCAGGGGGCTCCGGCTGGCACCAGTGGGAACTCCTTTCCATATGTACAGATGTCTATGGCACCACCCAGGGGCAGCACAGCCACAGGCACATCCTCTGCTCTGCAGACAGGGACTGACACTGGTGTAGAACCAATGGATACCACACCTCCACCTGATCCTCTTCCCCAGGGTGCACCCACTGGCACCAGTGGGAACTCCTTTTCATCTGCACAGATGACTATGGCACCACCGAGTGGCAGTACAGCCACAGGCACATCCTCTGCTCCCCAGTCAGGGACTGACACTGGTGTAGAGCCTATGGATACCACACCTCCACCTGATCCTCTTCCCCAGGGGGCTCCTGCTGGCACCAGTGGGAACTCCTTTCCATATGTACAGATGTCTATGGCACCACCCAGGGGCAGCACAGCCACAGGCACATCCTCTGCTCTGCAGACAGGGACTGACACTGGTGTAGAACCAATGGATACCACACCTCCACCTGATCCTCTTCCCCGGGGTGCACCCACTGGCACCAGTGGGAACTCCTTTTCATCTGCACAGATGACTATGGCACCACCGAGTGGCAGTACAGCCACAGGCACATCCTCTGCTCCCCAGTCAGGGACTGACACTGGTGTAGAGCCTATGGATACCACACCCCCACCTGATCCTCTTTACCAGGGGGCTCCCGCTGGCACCAGTGGGAACTCCTTCCCATCTGCACAGATGACTGTGGCACCGCCCAGTGGCAGCACAGCCATAGCCATGGGATCTGGTCCCCAAGTGGGGCCCAGCTTTGGGCCGACCTGTGCATATGTGGCAGCCCCACACAATTCTCTTTTTCCGGCGCCTCCCCCTGGCACCAGTGGGATCTCCTTCCCATCTGCACAGCTGAATGTGGCACGGACCAGGGGCAGAAAGATCACAGCCTCTTCCTGGCTAGGACAGAGCTTGAGCCTTGGTGCGCCCCCACATAAACGGCGCTCTTAGGGTTCCTCCAGCACCCTGACCACCCTGGGGGCCGCTGATGGGCAGCAGCATGGAGCAGCCACCAATACCCACGGTCTCCGTTTCTGGGCCCTGGCAGCTCCAGCTCTAGGCCTAGCCCCACCCCCTGTTTCAGGTCAGCCAGCCTCCTGTAGCCCAGCACAGGCAGCCTTTGGCGATCCTGACTCACAAACATGACCTCAGGCATCTTGGACAGCTACCAGGCAGCTTCTAATGTCACCCGTGTCTTTTCCCTTCTGGAACTTCAATCGCAGCTGCCTCTGCCACAGCCACCTACATGCCCAGTGCTCTGACCCAAGTCTGGCACAGCAG